TCCCCTCACAGAGGCCCCCTGCAGCCCCCACTGCCAACACCTGGGCACAGACACCTCCTACACTGGTGTCTCTCGGTATCTGTATCAGTTTTGCTGTAGACAGACTCTAAGTGTGACAGGAGGGGGAAGCTGAGAGGAAATAAAGCATCATGAGGGGTGTGTAGAGGGAGACCAGGGCAGACACTTCAGAAACAGGGGTAATCGCGGTGCAAAGAGGAGAAACACTCCTAGGAGTGATTCATCCTTCTGGTTTTCCTTGTGGGTGTCCTTCCTTAAAAAGTACGGCTCTTCCACCCTGCAGCTGGATTTTTCTTTCTTGTGCTTTCCCTCCTAATTGCATCTTCTGTCTGACATTCAAAGACACCAGTTGTGTAGAGCATCATCTGTGTTTGCTCCCGCGCACCAGGTGCACACTGCAGCACTTTGCAGCCTGGCTACAGGGCCAACACGAGGACATGATTCATACCAGGTCTCTTCCCAAGCAGTCCAGTTCAGCTCAGGCTGTGTAGCCACTGCTGGGGCTGCGGGTCCAGGGCAGGAAGGATGCATTCCCCTCTGCTGTGCATGAGGATGGGTTGCAGGACATTGAAGCATGGCAGTCTGCTGGTGTGGACTTCTCGTAACTAGGGACACCTCTGCCATTTGTGAACATAGCCCAGGTACGTGAAAAATATGGTCAAGCACTGCATTGGCCTTTTACCGCCACAGCAGAATTTCCACCTTCAGTTGACCCTCACAGGACTAGCCATGATCTACCACATCCCAGTAACAATATTTTGTCTTCAGTCCCAGAATACCAGTGTTCCCAGTTGCGTCAGCACAGGCACATGTGTATTGGCTCATGGTGTCAGGTTTTGTCCTGGACACATTGGCTGATCACACTGAGACACTCTCCTCCCCAGGCTCATGAGGTACTACGCTGTAGAGCAGTGACTGATGAATGTTTTGGGGATTATTGTTTTTTTTCTTTTTTTTTTTTTTTTAGGGTGTCTAAAAGCAGAGTTTCTGTGTTACCTACCAAATGTCAGTGGTAACAATCCATTGACAAGCTGAGTGGCAGCTGAACCAAAGTGCCAAAAATCCAGGAATGATCACCCCCTGCAGATTATGAATGGTGGGAGATGATACTTACTTGTGGCTGGGGGCTATTTTGGCACCTTTCAACAATATTGTCCTTCATAACCTACACCTAGCTCCAGGACTGGTTTAAAAAAACCCTTTTCAGAGGGTTCTGCATAATGGATGACTGGGTTGGCTACACAAACAGAATTGGTGGTGGAAAATGCCAGGTCTAAAACTAAGCAGAACTGTAATTTCTATAACCATGTGTGCCATAAAACTTACCAGCCCTGACATCTTTACCTCAAAATACATGTGCACAGCATAAAGACTTCTTTGCCAGTGCTGCTTGAGGTCACTGCATTCTATGTAACGTAAGTGTGGGTTACGCCAGGTATTGTTTGGCCTTAGCCATAGTACCAGTGAGTTAAACAATAGAGATGCCAGCTCTGGGATCAGGCTATTCCTCTGTGACTCTTCAACACAACTCGTGTGGTGGCCAGTGGTTTATGGGCCCTCAATGATTTGATTTACCTCGTTGCCCTCTCCCCTGTTTATGCTACAGAATTACCATGCAATTTTGTGCTAGAGTAGAAGTAGCTTCCCCCGCCCCCCAAAAGCTGGCAAGTACTAGACCCACCAAGTGTTGAGCAATTCCACACAATTTACATACCCTACTGCAGGCAACCCGCCCCCCTCCCCAACAGACAGCATTCAGCCCTCAGTTTCCCACAGATCTCCATGCGCTTTTAATAATAATATTTAAAAAAAAAGCAAAACAACGCTTTCAACAATAGTATAGTTCTACATACCCACTTGGGAATTTCTCTAGGGATAAAGCATCACTTAACACTCACTGCAGCATTCCTGATACAATATGATTTTGATTTATGGTAACTTTGGGAAAATTTTTTATAGTACAACATACTTTGATCTTTTAAAATAAGAAGAGCATTTCTTGTGTGGCTCAGTAGCTTTACTCTTCTGCCAGTCTCTGATCTTACCCGCCTAACCCCCATTTTTGCTTACTTAGAACAAATCTGGAATGTGCCAGGTTATGGAGTTGCTAGAGCTTTCTGCCTTGTTTTAAGAACAGTTTAGTGTATTTGTGCCTTCAACCTAGGAGAAGCTGTTAGTATTATCCTAACAGGGAGGATAGTTTCCTGGTAACTCTTTACCACGCCATCCAAATGAAGGTGCTGCTTGAGACCTCTCCCTTCCTGACTGATTTAGGGCACTTTTTGTAAGTTTTGTTCCTTAGTAATATTCCCATGCTTACTTGGGGCATTCTTCACATCCGGGGAAAGATCTTGGTCACTTCTCTCTCACTCTGACTGACCATGACGCTGTGCAAGTGTTAGTTGTGTATCAGCAGAGAGTGCTGGTTAACACAGCTAAGACTCCCAAAGCAGACTAGATCTCGTTAGTATTGCTGATAGAGACTATTCAAAGCATCACTTAGCCTTTTGTCCCCCGTTTCTTCCTGGAAAGATGAACAGTAAGTGTGCTAGGCTTGTACATTACTGAAGCTGGAAAGAACTGTATAAAGCCTCTGCATCGTCACTTTTTATACAAAACATTTATTTTTAAAAAGTTGCATATAAAGTTCTACACAGGACAGTTACCATTTCTGTAGTAAAAAAAACCCCGAACAAAACCAAATGAAAAATCCAGCTCTGTCACTCAAATGGTAAAAGGGCTGCTCATTCTCAACAATCCACATTTAACAGACTTCAGTGTGCACTTTGGTAGCACACCATGGACAAACTGCAGGAGTTCATTAGAGAGAAAGGTTCTAGATGTACATATTTACATTGTTATCTAACACATGTACTTTTTACCACCACAGCTGCAGAACCACATTAGCTCTTGGAATGGATCTCATCCTCTACCCTGTTTCTGTGCCGACATGGCTATTTACATTGCATTACAGAAGCAGCTGTTTTTACAGAAGACTTTTTTTAATGGGCTTTGTCCACTGCTAATGCCCTGGCACTGTTCCAGAAAACTGAGGGAGGGTTTGATTGATTACTGGCTCCCCAAGGAGGAGAAGGCCGATAGTAGACACTGTGTAAAACACCTCCTCTCCCCTCACCTCATCTTCTGCTCTGAGGAGAAACACAAACTGGGGAAGGACTCCCTTCTAGTCAGAGGACGAAAGAGCTTTTGCACTGAAAGCTGCCTGTAAGAAATTTTAAATTTGGATAATGATTGTCTGAAGAAGTAATTTTAAATGATCTGAGCAAGTTCTGCTGTCAGATTTACATTAGCTCTTCTTACCCCGCCATGTTTCTGAGGGAAGAATTCCATTCTTCAACAAGTATAAAGTTCAATTTCTAAACAAAGCAAAAGCAGATGGCTCAGTATTTAAATATATCCAGCATCTGGATTCTCAGTCACAAAAATAACATCCTTTATACAACAGAAAATGGATCACTATGAAGCAATTCTCTGTTGGCCTTAAGATCCAACATCTCCATCAACAGTTTCATCTTCATCCTCTTCCTCCTCATCCTCTTCATCATCTTCCCCCACTTCTCCATCTCGCTTCTCTTTTTCAAGCATTTTTAGGTATTTGCTAGCTAGAATCTTCTTTGGCAAGATATCTGGAAGGTAGAATTGTTTCTTTTATAGTCAGTTTGAATACTTATATTGCCTCATTAATACTGCTGCATCTGTACCGCTAATGAAATGAAGTCAAAAAGAGGCTTTGTTAAAAACATTATTATTTAAGTGAATAACCAGGTAAGTTAGTCTGACCTATACAGCTGTAAGAATAAGAGGGAATTACCCACTTATGGTACAAGTAACCAAAGAATATTTATGACTGATTACTGGCAACAGTCTTTACTATCTGCTCATCTACATTATTTACTGGATGTAAAATAGAGTGCTCAATTACTCAACTGCCGTAGACGGATTCAACAAGACAGCTATCCCATTTATGTCCTGTAGAAACATTTTTTCTGCATTAAGGTAAGACACTTGTTCAGGGCAGTAATGATGGACTTGAGACAAAGCAGGTCCTGCATGCTCTGAAAGTATGTCCCAGGGGAACCCAGATAAAGATTGGGCTAGGAATATCTTATCCTCGACCTATATCCTATAGCTGAGTGTTAGAACAGAAATCAAAGCATCAGTAAAAAGTGTGTGCGCACGCACACTTGTGTGTACATACATACATATATAAAAAGAGAGAGGGACCATATGATGAATCACTTTAAGAAATAAGACTTACAGATTTAAATGTGTAATTTTGGGGCCACATAACTTCTCACATACAGATGTGCAGTAATCTTGTTTTCTAGGCTGAAAGCTTTCAGATGGAGTTGCTGGAATTTAAGAAATGCTTAAGGCACTATGCTGAGAACTAATTAGCCTTGTATAATTTTGAAGCACCAGAAACATCCCCATTCACAAAGAAATGTTTCCAGTGATGTAGTTTATGAGTTCCAGTTGAATGTTATACAGGAGATTAATGACCAGTAGGAGAATTGTGCTCTCACAAATCAATTCAATAAGAGCACGATTTCGTTTTCCAAATTACATACTAGATTTACCATCATGCTATAGATACCTGCAAGGAACTGAAAGGTCTCACACTCTTCTGCAGTATGAGACAGGTCACTGTAAGTTAGAGCATTCTTCTCCTTGCCTCTGCCATGTTTGTAGGAGTATGTAGCCAAATACTGAACAAAAAGCTCCTAAAAAAATTAAAACAAAAGCGAATAGTCAAACCATTAATTCACATATGTAGTTGGCAGCAGTTTTCTTTAATCCCGTTTAAAGACGCAAATGCCATATTTAAGTGTACATATACTGGACGCCTTGTGGAGAGACCCACTTATTTCAGAAGAGCTTAAGGTCAGGATATAGTTGCATCTCCTTGGAGCACTGACTGCCAGCTTGGGTTCTGCTATGTGACTTAATTTGTGCTGCTCTTCAACACTTTCCACAGCCCAGCAAATGACACTTGGGATCAGAAAGCAGCAGAGTATTACTTCCACACGGGCTAATTTATACTAATTGACAGTGGTGGAAATAAGAACCTCCTGCATTGCTCATAGACTCTGGGAGCTCAGCTGGACTGGACGATGCCCAAAACCCCTTTTGCATACTGGGAGCCTGAAGCGTGATGCTTGATGGCCGCCGAGTGACAGACACAGGTAGGAGGGGAAGAGAGGTGCGGT